CAGGACGGCTCCCCTAGCCACTCCGCCACAGCCGCCCCCTTAATTAATAGATTTTAGATCAATTGTAAATTTATGATTCAATGCAACAAAAATAAATTAAAAAAATGTTTTTTTTTGTTGTTTTTTTTTTTGTTTTTTTACAAAACACAATGTTTCCCCTACCATTAACGGGCAACGCCCCCACCCCTGATGTCCACCCACTGTGCTGCTGGCCTTGAGTAACTGTGGCCCACTGAGCAGTTTAGCTGAATAGCCCAAATTATTGTAACACTTGTAAATATCTATATATTTACTTCTTTTATATGTCATCACATTTGCCTAGATTTGCATAAAGTCTGGAAACAAGGTGGAAGAACTTAACTGAACATTTTTTTGTTATTTCTCAGTTTTTATTCTTCAGTTAAATGTAAAAGGGTTAAATGGGTTAATTAGTCGCTAACTAGAGGGGGAACGTGGCTGAGCTTTTATATATTAAGAAAAAGCCTGAACAAAGAGGGGGTTAGTTTCAGAAAACCAATTAGTGTTGCTTAGGATGTAGCAATTAGCCACATCACAACTACTCCCTGCTTCAAAGTTAAAGAAGAAGGGTGGAATAAATAGCTAACAGGAGAGATAAACTCATGCAGTATAAGGGAAAATAAGTGCCGCAGTAAAGAGCATATTATTTTCTTTAGTTTAAAAAGAGAGCAGATAACAGAAATCACATGATTTCCCTGGGCTTTCAACTTAGTGGGAAGTACTTTTGAAGTAGAGCTAAAAATATAACACATTCCTAAGTTAGGCATTCATTAGAAGGCACCTCCATAATTATTGTGCTCTGTTTTACGTAAAGCTATTTATCTTACCAAACAGAGTCGCTATTAAGATGATCAATTGGCTCCATGTTCTCGTCGAAATAGACGTCTGTCGTGAGGGAGACGTCAGTGTCGTGTGCAGACTGGAAGTTGGTCACACTCCGAGAAGGTATGCCAAGACAGCGCAGCACTGAACACAAGAACGGACAAAGATTCATTAGACTTTGCCATTTATTCAGCTGAAATGAATTTATAGATTGATACTGATATTTTGCAAATTTTTTGCAACGATAAGTTAAGTTGAATGAAAGCAGCAAACTGTTCATGATAAATGTAGCAAGGTATGATAAGAATGTCAATGTAAAGAATTCAGGTTGTATTTGACCTTTGAGGCATTTGAGGCATGCATTAGAGTGAGTGAGCTATTATGTGAAGCTCCCTGAATACACACAGGATTGTAGCATACTGTTAGAGAGTTAACTAATACAACTGTTATAATTCCATGTAGATTTCTGCTTTAGTTGACAACAATTCTGCTGAACTTTCCATGCCGTGCCCTATTTTCATATGGATCCCCAAAAACCAAACATCTACATAAACTCCCTTCAGATGCCTTCAATCACTCAGTTTTACTCTCTGTGCTTCAGCCCGTCCCAAACATCATATCCCGATCACCATCACAGGCAGCTTTGTGTTCACTTTAAATTTCTCACCCGTCGTAGTGACCCCAGAGAAGACCCAGCACTGCCCATAACAGACAGGGGTTCCATTGGTGGAATGGTATGTCCTCAGGATCTCCACGCTGCTGCTCCACGCCGCTGGACAGGTGCCTCCAGTGTAATCCCCTGACCAGTTCCCAACCAAGACACCAAAGTCATCCTGAGCATTTATCTAAAATAAAAAACACCAAAATGTTTGATCATTTCATTGACTTTTAATTTGTCTAAATAAAGCAGTTTTCTTGCTTTGTGTGTGTGTGTGTGTGTGTGTGTGTGTGTGTGTGTGTGTGTGTGTG